AAACCATTCTGATGGTGGGAGAAACAGGAGCAGGAAAAACAAAACTGATCAACACGATGATCAACTACATGTTAGATGTTCAGAGAGAAGACAAGGTTTGGTTTGAGATCACAGATGATGATCAAACATCAGTTCACAGTCAGACCTCCATCATCACTGTTTATGGGTTTTATATACAAGAGAGTAAAACTGATCTAACAATCATCGACACACCAGGATATGGAGACACTCGTGGAGTTGAGAAAGATAAAGAGATCGCCAAGAGCTTACTTGTTTTAAGCAAATGTGACGAATGCATCCAGACACTAGACGCAGTGTGTCTGGTGATTAAAGCAACACAGACTCGACTCTCTGATAGAGAAACATACATATTTGATGCTGTTCAGTCTTTGTTTGGGAAAGATATTGATGAAAATATCATCTTGCTCTTCACACACTCTCGTGGAGCGATCCCCAGAAATGTCCTGACGGCTGTTGAAGAGGGTAAAATCAAGTGTGCCGTGAATGAACAGAATCAGCCGCTGTATTTCCAGTTTGACAACTGTCAGTCAGACGCTGATGATGAAGAAAATATAATGCAGAAGCAATCATGGGATCTCAGTTTAAGAGGAATTACAGGATTTTTCCAATTTTTTGACAACATAAACCCAAAACCCGTGAAGATGACCCAACATGTGTTGGAACAACAGAGGCAGTTTGAGGCAAAAATCTCTGCTATAAAATCACATATTCAAGAGATGGTCCCGAAGCAGAATGAGCTGAAACACACTCAAGAAGATCTGGAGAAACACAAACAAGTTGTTGAAGAAAATAAGAACTTTGAGTATGAAGTTGAAGTGAAATACAAAGAGAAGGTTGATATTGATCGCTCTGTAGCCAGTAAGGCGATGTGCTGCAGAGTCTGTGAAGAGAACTGTCATTATCCAGGATGCTGGTCTTTAACCCTTCTCTCATGGTGCAGTGTGATGAAAGATGATCACTGTACAGTGTGCACAAATAAATGCCACTCCAGCAAACATGTCAAAGAAGCAAAAATATATGAAACAAAGACAAAAAAGGAGAAGAGGACAAATGAAGATTTGAAGAAGAAATATGATGATAATATAATTAAAGTTAGAGAAGGTGAGTCTGTGGTCCAGAAGCTGAAAGAAGAACTGCAAGAATTAGAGAAAGTGAAAATAAAGCTGGTGATGGATGCGTTTCACTGTGTGAATACTCTGGAGATGATCGCACTCAACACTGATTCACTGAACACACTCCGACATGTTGATTTTCTGATTGAGAAACTGAAGGAAATTAATGAGCCTGAAAAAGCTAAAATACTGGAAAACATCAAGAAGAGAGCAGGAGAAGAAAAACACAAAGTGCTGTTAGAAAACTTTTATTTATCAGAAAATTAGAGGAGTGCTCTGAAAGTGTCCTTCTGTGATATAGTGCTTTAAATATAATCCCCATGTTCACTGAAACAATAATGTGTTCATCACTGAGAGTGTGTAAGGGATGGTTCACTTTGAAATTAATGTTTGGTATGTTTTATCTTACCTCAAGGGCATCCAAGATGTAGGTGTCTTTGTTTCCACAGTATTTTCAATTTTGATATTTTTTGGTTAAACCGTTCTTGTCTGTCAGTCATATAATGGAGGTCTATGGTCACCACCTCAAAGAGCAGCACAGAGAAGTCCAAATTAAACATGATTTAATGACTCGTAAATGTAAGTACACTTTGATGGCCTAAGACACGAAAACGAACAGTATTTATATCGTTTTTACCTCATGTTATCACAGCCATGTCAAACTGATCTGAAGGCACGGGCGCTTCGGTCTGCGCATGCGCTGGAAGTGATCTCTTGCGCGTGTACGTCACTCTTTGTTTATACAAAGATTTCGGAAGTTTTACCCTTCACTGTGAAGATCTAAACATATTTAGATATACAGGAAATCACAATGGAAGATGATTTCGGTATATCTAAATATGTTTAGTAAAAGGTAAAACTTCCGAAATATACATGTAAATATTGAGTGACGTCACATGCAACCGATCACTTCCGGCGTAACGTTGAACTGATTCAGTTCGGTTCAGTTGGACATTGCACAACTGATTCAGATCACTTGGACGTGGCTGTTGTTCCAATAGGTAAAAACGATATAAATACTGTTGGTTTTCTCACACAAACCGCTCGTTTCGTGTCTTAGGCCATCAATGTGTGCTTACATTCACGAGTCATTAAATCATGTTTAATTTGGACTTCTCTGTGCTGCTCTTTGAGGTGGTGACCATAGACCTCCACTATATGACTGACAGACAAGAACGGTTTGACCTAAAAATATCAAAATTGAAAATACTGTGGAAACAAAGACACCTACATCTTGGATGCCCTTGCCTTGAGGTAAGCTAAAACACATCAAAAATTAATTTCAAAGTGAACTATCCCTTTAAGTGAATCTGCAGAAGGATCAGTGAAACACATGAAGTGTGGCTGGTGATTATGGCACATCAAAATCGACTCTCTGACAGGCAAATACACATATTTCAGACACACACACGCACACACACACACACACACACACACACACACACACACACACACACACACACACACACACACACACACACACACACACACACACACACACACACACACACACACACACACACACACACATTGTTACAAAAAGTTGGCAAGCCTTGCTAAATATTGCAATTTAGCCAAATGTGTGTGTTGTTTTGAGAAAACGTGTGCAGAGACAAAAAAAAACATATGCATGTCATTTTTTAATATTTAGTCCTTATTTGCCTTCTCTCTCTCTCTCTCTCTCTCTCTCTCTCTCTCTCTCTCTCTCTCTCTCTCATATATATATTTGCCTTTATAAGTCTCTCTTGGGATGCTGTCACAATTCTGAAAAATGATTTGAAGGTTTTAGTTGATTTTGCTGCATCTTGTGTTTATTGTGTTGACTAGTCCCTTGTTAGTAGTTAGTCATATAGTTCTAATATTTTTCCTGTACAGTATATTGAAATATTTTTTTGTCCTTGTTTGATAAATCTCTGCCTGACAAGTTCCTATCTCTTAGGTAAATTATTGTTTTACTTCACAGAATATCATGATCAAAAAAAAATATGCCTTTGTTTGTGATTCTGATAGGCTGAAAACCAGTCAGTGTGTCTAAGCTATAAAAACATTCAAGCAATAATTTTATGCATTTCTATGAACATGTTTTTTCTATTTTGGTAAACCGGTTTCAGAGGCATTTGCCTTTATTTTAATGTTCATGTACTTTTGGGTCCATATGAGAGTGTATGGTATCAAGCGTTACTTCAGACAACTGACAATCAGACAACTCTTAAAAATATATTTATTCAAGATATATGGACATTTTACAGTTATCTTTGTCACAGATTTGCTGTTTAACAGCGCCACCAAGGGGATAAAAAATAAAATCGCATGAATATGTCTGCTATATGAGAATGAGAAAGTAACATAAAAAATTGATTCACAAAATTAAAGTTTAAATATGTTTTAATGATGCTTGGAGAGAGATTAATAAACTCCATATTGCTTAATTCTCAGAAAACACAATCAGAATATTTTTAAGACATGCTAAATACAGCCTGTGCAAAGTATGTGGAATAATTGTATATGCGGCAGATCTTTCAATACTGTAGTACAGTAGGCTACTTTAAAATAATATTGATCTCACTTTTCTCGAATGAACGCACACACAGTAAATTGTGTGTAAATGATAGAGGCCTTATGATGCCGTGTGAAATAAACGGAACAAAATGAGAACTATTAGAACTGACCGGGATCCTTGTTTCCACTTCACGACACTGCCAGATATCCACATCTCTGAATCTTCATCATTTAATTCAAACTCAAGTGTGACTAAGTTAACTATATTCTCCTTTTGATGAAGCATTAAGCTTTGAGTGACTCTGACTCTGGCTCTTTACACCTCTCCTGTCACTGGACATTAGTAGGTTCGCCCCAGGGTGATTTAGTACTGTAACAGTTCACAGTGCATTAAACAGTCTCTGTGGCTATAACAAAACAGAGCAAAAACTGGATTATGCTCCTCTCAATTTTGGAATATAAAAAATATTTCCCTGTCCAGGAGAGAGCAGCAGAGACTGAAATTTCACTCAGAGTCAAACTATATTCATTTGATCAAAATCTTTAAAATAACATGGAGATTAACATGAAAATGAACTTTTGAGAAAACTAACTTATTCCATATTTTTTCAACTCTGTAACTTGTAAAACTGAATTGAGTTTATTTTTATTTTTTTTTTAATTATAGTTTATTACAGACTTCAGAAAAATCTGCTCTGGTCAAGTTCATTAAGGTTTTTTGATGTAATGCTTGTATTTAAAGACAAGATGTTCACAGGATGTTCATAAAGAGTTAAAGTGAGTCTCAGTGAAATACAGTTATCTTATATGAGGACTTTAACCTGAAGAACCACTAAAAACAAAATACACCCATTAATAATACTGACCATTACTGATGTTTGGGCTGCTGTTCTCCTGCCAAAAATGATAGCAACATGTTTTAATTGTTTTAGATTGAGATTTTAGAAAGAAAATATTTAAATTTAATTTTTTATTATTAGAAGTGCAGGTAAAAATTAATATCAACTTCAAAGTGAGAAATTAATTATTAGGTCATATATTCAGTTAATTGTGATACTGTGGTGTGTGTATGATTTGCATCTTTTTAAAAAGTCTGATCATTCCTCCTATTAATACATTAATGGACATGTAATGTAGGCTATAGTTAAAACGACCAAACACAAGTAGACCGTAAAGTTCTTATAATATCATTTTAAAATAATCTGGCGTCTCATCATTGACAACTGCAATCATCCAATCAATCACATTCACAGTACCAGAACCGTTGAGCCCCGCTGAGCCAATGGTTGTGCTGTTAACAGCGACAAGTCCCGCCTCTCAGGGCGGGCTCAACCAATCCAGCGCGCTTATTCTTGCATAATTAACGTAGGCTTGCGGAGGGGAGTGACGCAGAGTCTGAGACTTTCCTCGTAATTTATCAAAAATATCGCTTCATTCGCCAGAACGGAGTTATTACTTTATCCCATTCAGCTTCACGACGCTGTAACGCAATACCGGATCAAATCCATGTGATTTCGTTTCCTCCAGACAGCTCAAGCCTCTTACATGTGGATATTGATGTGGTAGGGAATAAATAAAGATGCCGCAGCCGAAATCGCGCAAGATCGCCGTCCTGGGCTACAGATCCGTCGGTAAGTGCGCGTTGCTCGTCGCCTAGTGTTATGGTATGTTATGTATCGTTTACATCAGCTTTTTATATTTCTCCGCATGCATGAGATTCGTGCTGGCTCGCGTGAGCTGAATGTCACCCCATGCGCGTGATGCATCCGCATGCATTTAAGCACGAGCTGAAGTATGCATGCTTTATGACATATAACATAGTAAACCCACCCTACTATATCATGCATTTAATCCCAAACTTAACTAGCCTCTTCTTTCCGATCAATGCAGTGTGATGCTGTTCTGCAGATGCATGCAGGCCTCAGTCCAGTGTCAAAGTGCTTTAACTGCCTGTATATTCATGCATTTCATTCTTCATATCATGAATAGAAATATTAACATATAACAGAGGCCTGTGTTCATTTAAAGTAGCTTCATGACTTCTATATAGATGTCACAGACCACTAAATATGATCAGTGACCCTCATCCTAACATCAGGCAGATATATTTATATTTTCATGTGAAAACTCAATTTATACTTTAAATTTGTATACTAATATAGTGATTACATTATTTCTGAGTGATTCAGTGATTGTGATGTGATGTTGTGAATGAGTTTGGATGCTGCAGGTTTGTCCAATCAGTTTTTTTCTCATCACAGCCGATATCTCGATATATCAGCCGATATTTGACCGTTTGGAGATTATCGGCATCGGCCAATAAAGTGCCTGTGTTGGCTTCCCTTAAATCATCAGCTCCAACTACTGTAACACGCTTATGTCAATGAATGATGCTTGTTTTTAGTTATTTTTGATGATTATCAGTAAATAATGTGTCAAAATGTTTGATTTCAGTTTGTGAGTTCCTATAACAGCTCATTTAAAATAAACTCATGGATAGGACACAAATAGGATTTCAGACATGAGTGTTGTGTAATTAACGTATTCACTGTTCATTGAGTGTGTCAGAGTAATAATTCACCCAAAAATCAGCTCTCAGATCTCATTTAATTTGATGTTCAGATTGAAACCATTAGAGGGTTTGCATTGTTTTAATGCTCTCGAGTATCCAATCAATTGAACATGTGAACTCTCAATTTGGGGATTAAGAGTTGAATTGGAGGGGAAGGTTTTCAGTGAAAACAGCTTGAAGTTATTATATGAGTTCAGAAGACTTTTATTGAAATTCATAATTTTGGCCTGGATGGACTGATCTCATGGATCTGTGCAATAAGTGACTCAAAAGTACAAACTCTGATCCTCCACTTGAGTTGGATCGTGATCTGGTGGATTGTGTGTCAGTGGCCATTCAGAGCGCATGTATTCTCTCTGCTATAAAGCGTTTACAGAGAACATGTGTGTGCTGATGTGTGTAACGATGATTCCTTGCAGATCACAGCTGAGGGAACATGCCAACATCACATCAGGACACACTTGAGTTCCTTCAGCCTTTGGGAACAGTTCCTCTCACACACTCATGCTGGTTTCATGAGATCATCACCAAACCTCAGCATGCACATGAACTGCACTCAGTCAACGGTTCAAATCAGTCACTAATATATAAACTAGTGATGCAACAAAAACTAACACTAAAAAATTAAGTTTTGTAATAAAATGTGGGTAACTGAACTCTCTTAATGTTGTTCAGAAATTAGTTTTTTCAGGTAATAAACCAGTTTGATTAAAATTTTGCCAGAATTTTGGTGCTTTAGCCATCCATTCAAGCATCTACCCATTCATTTATTTATCCATCCACCCATCTACCCATCCATTCATCCACCCATCTATTCATACATCTATGCATCCCTCCTTCCATCAATCCATTCATCTATTCATCCACCCATCTATCCACCCATACATCCATTCATTCATCCATCCATCCATCTATCTATCCACCCATCCAGCTATCCATCCATCCATCTACCCATCGATCTATTCATCCAGCCATCTATCCATCCATCCACACATCCATCCATCTACCCATCCATTCATCTATCAATCAGTCTATCCATCCATCTATCCATCCACCCATTCATCTATCTATCCATCCATCCACACATCCATCCATCCATCTACCCATCTATCTATCCATCCATCCACCCATCCATATATTCATCCACCCATCAATCTACCCATCCATCTATCCATCCACACATTCATTCTATCAAACCTGTTTTTGAGTCTGATACACCAAAACTTAAAGCAGAAAAAAATTCTGTCTGATGTAGATTTGGACCTGAAGTGAAAATGTTTCATGAAAGCATGCAGGAGAAATACATGCATGTTGTATGTGTGATGATTTAAGGAAACTGTCATCTCTCATAAGGTTCATCTCAGGCCTCTATATGGCAGATGCATGTGAACTTTATATAACATGACGTATGTTTTGACCTCTCGGTTCAGCCGTGAGTTCTGCGTTCATGACATTTCTGGTTTCCAGCTCAGTGTATGGCAGTGCTGTAACCTTCACTAGTCAATGCTAATGAACACCGTTGAGTTTTATTCTAATGATAAACTCAATTCTTTACAGTTTCATTAAATAAAGCATCTATAAACTCCAATTTAATTTCTTTCTGTGTAGTAAGTCTTTAAATCCGTCTGTTGTTGGACATGTACAGTATTCCTGCTCCACTACAGACTGACGGATCTCTTTGTGTCCACTTCACCGGTCACTGACTAACACGTCCGCCCACATCTGGGCTTTGTTAGCGGGGTCACGCGCCGGCCGATCGGAACTATATGTTCCTGATGCGTTTGCTCCTGTTTCAGGGTCTATTTATAGAGCTGATGAGGAAGGATGCTTGAAATCCGAAGCGCTTCCATTAAAATGGAGGGAATCAGGGCTGGAGCTCTCTAATGCTTTACACTCGAGAAATACTGGTAATAAACAACTGGAAGGAGACCAATGGAATAGACTGTTTAAGTTAATTCATATTCCTGGTATTATTGTGGATTAGTGACGTTATTCTAACAAAAATAAATGTTAGGTTTTTGTCTCTGAAACAACTTTATTTTTTCTGTTGATGTCATCAATGGTTTACTTTTAACCCTCCAACCTAATATGGCAACCTTGCCATTTTATAGCCTGGTAATACCAGACTCTGCTACTTCACTTAAATGAAATTAGCGGAAGTAGGAAGTCTGACGTAGTCAGGCTAGCCGTTTTAGGGCATAAGGACACATTTTTTAAGGACTCGTATCTACTTGTATCACAGGTACACTGTTTGTTTCCGCTTGTTTGTTCTTGCTGTATGACTCCTGTACATCACCGCAATCATCTTTACCTTGATCCCAAACCTCATCCATCAAAACTTTACTAGAGAGGCGCTGGTTTGCATTTCATGTGCTTCAGTCATTTATTTGCATATCATTTTGAATTAATAGCAAGCATTACCATCGACAGCCTAAATATATTGATAGGAGAAGTCATAACACCCAATATGGCGTCTGTAGCCCCACCTTACATTTAAAAGAGCCAATCACCTTTAGAGTGTGAGAGCCTGTTATTTTGTATCATTTGAGCTGAAGAGACACAGTTGCCACAATTGTTGCATATTTTTCTGATTTGGAATCTTATTAAACTGTAACATTGACAAACTTGCTACATTTTTGGAGTCTTTGCCTTTGGTCATTCCTCATGCTGGAGAATCTTCAATGGAAACAAAGAAATAAATATTTTACCCATCAGGAATAAACTGGATTGTGAACAATATTTATTTCTTTGATTCAATTGAAGATTCTCCAGTTGTCCTGCATCTTCTCTAGTCAGAACATGTGTCTGCATTTGAGTGATCAAACACACTTCTGTCCGTCAGAGCTGCACCTCCATCCCGGAGTGTCCCGGTGTTCCTGTGGGCTTTTCCCGGTGAATGAGAGCTCGCGTTTACAAATGCTGGATGCAGAGAGGAACTCGCCGTTGTTATAGCAACAGGCTCCAGGGCAAATCTGCCCACACACTCATTCTCTGTGTGTGTCTGTGTGTGAATGTGAATGTCCTGCGTTACTACCACTATGGCAGTTTCATCACAAACGCTCGGTTGAATGGGAGTGTGTTTAATCTTGATGCATTCACATGCAGAGAGCCAATCACATGATGAAACCAGTCAAGAACCAGATCGTTTCACCCCAAAATCAAAAGAAGAAATAATGAAGAATAATAAAGAAATCTAAAATCTATGTATAGCATTGACATTTTCTTGATCTGTGAAGATATTTGTAATTTTGTTTGTGAGATATGAATTGTTTCATTTGGCATTATGATAATATTCTGCATCATTGTGTCAATCGCTTAGGCATGAATCTAACATATGCATTTAACTATATATATATATTCTGTGAGCTGTAGGCTGATCATGCATTACATAACTAAAGAAAACTTCCCTCTATTATGTAATGTGTTAATGTATGTTACTAGTGTGAAGTTCATGTTCTCTCGTGATCTGAAGGTAAAGATCATCTTCCTCGCTCTCTGACTTGTTCTGGTGTTTCTGTTTCAGGGAAATCCTCCTTGACGATACAGTTTGTGGAAGGCCAGTTTGTCGACTCCTACGACCCCACTATTGAAAACAGTAAGTCAATCACATCACCGACTGTGTGATCATGACAATAATGTAGGGTTGGGGAACTGATAAATGACCATAGATGATATAGAGTATATTTCTATTGCCTTCACGACTAGTGTACTCTGTATAGAGTTTAAAGCGGTGTTATGGCACGTGGAGGGATGATCACAGAACGGTTTGTCGGATTGCGATACCACGGGTTAAAATCTCAATTTAATAGTATTTAAAGCACCTATAAAGATTACCTCAAAATCCACGTCTGTATGCAAGTTCGAGGAACTTTATTTAAATGAAATACATACACTGCTTTAGATATTGTCTTGATCCCATCTCCACTCGTTCCATTGGTTGCAAGTCCTACTCTACTACTAATGAATCATGAATCAGTTCTTCAGAATGACTCAGATGGTTATAAAACGATTCACTCACTGATTCATTCAGGCTGATTACTCAACATCTGACTCGATATGTGTGCACTTAAGAGTTGTTGACATGACTCATCATTTAGTTTAAATTATACTACATATATTTTTCACATTTTGGTTGGTTGCATCCAGTTCAGTTTGGACATGGTGTTTGTCTGTTTGCTTGTTGGTAAACTGAATATATTGACCGTATGTTGACCTCCTGTTGTATATGCGTGTGTTTGTGCTTGCGTGCATGTGTGTGTGTGTGTGTGTGTGTGTGTGTGTGTGTAAAAATAAACGCTGGCTTTCTTCATTCTCCTCTTCATCTGGCTGTGTGACACAGAGCCGTTGGCAGGATGATGTGAACTCTGGAGGAAAGCCGTGTGTGTGTGTGTGTGTGTGTGTGTGTCTTGTTTAGTTGTGTGGTACGTGAATGGCGGGCGGTATAGATGCAAACACACGTGACTCCCTCGAGCAGCGTCAGTGTTTCTGCTGCTGATCCAGACTCAGTGAAGACACACAGCATGAACGTCACTGGGACTCTCAGGAGCCGCTTAAGCAGACCAGATGTTGTCTTATTAGATTATGATACAAAGGGGCGGTTCATAAGATGTCCTTCAGTGGAACAGTGAGTGGCCTCACGGGGGCGGGGCTTGAGTCATGTGGGTGTGTCTATCTCTTAGGTGACTCCACCCCCACTGTATTCTTTGCTTGTGTTTTGAAGGGTCTCTAACTCTAATCATTTTAATTGCAAAAAAAGTGTTTCAGTGGAATATTTTCATCTGGCTGTGTCTAATAACTACATTTTCAGGTATTTCTGAACCTATTGCTAAATAATTGAAATATTATGTTCCCTTTCTTTTATAAATATTTTGCATAATTTTTAAACTACTTTTTTACTTTATATAATGCTGTGCATGTTTCATTTTCTATCATTTCTTAATAGTTTTAAATCACATAAAATACACCTTCCCTTTTATCACAACAACTTTATATACATCAACTGCCCATTTATATAAATACATGATGTTATATATATCTAAAATAACATATTTTTGACAACATTCAAAAGTTTTTTTTGAAAAATATAAATATTTGTATTCTTTTTCATCATTTATAATAATCATAAATGTTTCTTGAGCATCAGATCATCATATTAGAGTGATTTTTGGAGGATCATGTGACACTGAAGACTGGAGTAATGATGCTGAAAATTCAGCTTTGAATAAATTACACTTTACTGTATATTCACTTAGAAAGCAGATGATTTAAACTGTAATAATATTTAATTTCCCTGATGAAATAAATGCAGCATTGTTGAGCAGAAGAGATTTTCCGGATCCAAACGTTTGAGCAGTATTGTGTGTGTGTATGTGTATACGCTGTGTGTGATTAATGATAGCAGCTGCTGATCTCTGCAAACTCTCTCATCCGGTGTTTTATTTCTCTCCGCAGCATTTACTAAAATGATCACAGTGAACGGTCAGGAGTATCACCTGCAGCTGGTGGACACGGCAGGACAGGTGACAGCGCCGTCTTTACAAACACACCAGTTCAGTTCAGTAGACCAACACCAGGAGAACGGCAGCGACCTCAACACACATTTCAATATCACTTTACATTAATGAAAACTGGAAATGTTGGCTAACCCTAACTGAGATATAGTTGAAGTTGAAATATTACAAAACATTTACATTTATTATTTTCAAAATGTTCAACAGTTGTGATAACATTATGGCATGAATAATAAAAAATGTAATGCATTATCTCTTTCAGGACGAATACTCGATTTTCCCTCAGACTTACTCCATAGATATCAACGGTTACATTCTGGTGTATTCAGTCACGTCAAATAAAAGGCAAGTGTGCAGATTATTATTCCTGATGGTTTTATAAACTCTCCACTGAGATGAACACGTCTTTGAGACTAATTCCTAAAGGATATGTCATTGTTTTAAAGAGGCTATGCGTATGAAGTTTCATGCAGAAATCGCTTTTTATTGCCAATATGTAAACAGCTTCCCAATGTTACTGGGCAAAAATTCGAATAAAATTCGCAATAATTTTTTAAAGATATTTAGACAAAATCTGTAATGGAAACGCTCACTGTGTGATTTTACCTCACCTGTCAACATGATGTCTGTGAATCGCAGAGCTGGTGAAAGACATCCACATCTCTGATCAGATGCTTTCTGAACGTCTGTTTTCTCACCGCAGGTATTTCTGTGGTGTTTAGTTGGTTATTGAGAGGAAAACACACAGTACATGTTCACATATTCATCTAAACGTCAGTTTCAGCAGCGTCTGGATGTTCATGAACTGTATATCGCTGTAACTTCTATTTACTTCTAAGCAAAGAAAGAAAAAGAAGTTGCCCATGAATATTGGGGCTTTGAATCACATTCAGTCTCACCTTATTTCCACTCGTTATAGAGTGCCGAAGTGATGACGTCACTTTGCAGGACAACTCTGAGGTTAGCGGCGCATGGGTTCCCTCGATCAAAAAGCAATGCATTTTCCCTATATACTTTTGGAAAGTCACAAAAAACAAGATCTGTGTTAGACAAAACGTGTAAGGGTCACAACTCTTTGTCAATCAAGATAATCTTTACAAGTTAATCCAAAATTTATACATTTTGAAGCCTATGTAAAGTTTAAAAAAAAACACAAGCAGGTTATAACTGTGTGTTTTATGTCATAGATCAAAACGTGAAAATATTTAGAGGCTTTGTTCATCACAGACCTATTATTTATTTCAGGCGATTTAGCAAAAACCCATTAAAAAAACCCATAGACTTCAAAACGAGGGAAGCGGGAGTGCTAAAATGCTAACTCACTTCCGCGTTTTGGCCTACAGAGTGACGTCATAACTTCAGCACTCGATTTGCGACGGTACAAGTACTCCACAGTGACTCTAGGGGGCGCTGTTTGACAAAAACATAATTCTTATAGTGCACCTTTAACATAGGGCCCATAGTCTCTAATGTGAAGATGAAGATGATTGTGAAAGTCTTCAGCACGCTCCTGAAATGTGTCTGATGTCTGTCAGAATCCAGTGTATGAATAAAACATTGCATCTGATTGAGTTGTCTCTCCTCCTCAGACACTCAGTGATTATCAAACCATAACGTACTGTACTTGAAGAACTGTTTTAACTAGTACTTATTGCCAAACATGAGGTTTTATTTGGTGAAGATGGTAAAGCGTTTTTATGTTTTATGTTTGTTCATGATTATCTTCATCTCCAGATATTAAAGGATATTAATTAAATTATAATGTCAGTCTCTCTTTGACTTAAACCCCGTAACCAACCATCAGCCTCCAAATTGTGAAGCCGTGCTGACGGTCTTTGCCTTTTAAATCTGAATATGTAAATGAACGTGTTTCCATAAGTGCTTCATTATAAAGTGTTTGAATTCAGTCGTCTGGGGGTTTAAAGCCCAAGGACATGATGTGACTGTAATCAGTGTTTATGAATAATGTTTCAGGAGGATGATGGGGTTTATGCCACAATCTAGTTTGAGTTTATGAGTTATGAATAATGCTATAAAACACTAGATCATTTAGTGAATTTATTGTGATTAATCACCTGCAAGATTTCAGAAATCCCAATTTAATCCATCTCTCCTTTTTCTCTGCAGTTTTGAAGTAGTAAAAGTAATCCATGAAAAGTTGTTGGATATGGTGGGAAAAGTACAGTAAGTATGTTTATTTTTTTTTTATTCAGCATTTGAAAAGTGCAGTTAAAAGTTGTGTTGATAATTAATAACTATTTTAAAGTCAACATGAATCATTTTACTACCATAATGTGATGAACTTCTGAGAAAAACATGATTTTAGTGTATACGGGAGTCATTAATCTTGATGAATCATTCATATATTACCGGTAATGTGCTCAGTTTGGACTGTAATGATGAATTATTAGCAGAATAAACAACATTTGCATGTGTGAAACTCTCAGTTATCGCCTGTTCAACATTAATCCCGTAATGTCCTTCTCCTAGAGTACCCATAATGCTGGTGGGCAATAAGAAAGACCTCCACATGGAACGGTACGTCTCGCGAGGCTATTTTTGCATGAATAGCGTTTGATTAATGAGAGCATGTGATATTCTGTCCCTGAGACGTCACATGATGAAGATGATGATGATGAAGTGCTTCAGCAGACGCAGATGCTCTGACCTCATTTAAAAGCAAATTAATCTTTCTGCAAAAGAACTATAATAACCCTGAAGTCAGACGTCACCAGAAGAGAAACACTCCAGCATACTTTTTATGGAAATAATTTACTTAAAAAGAATATAATCTTTGACTCTTTCTCAATTTTCCCAGTTTTTTCAGTATGTAAATGTATTTTCTTCATCAGTCATCAGTAGTGCTAGTGCTCATATTGATGTGATGAATTATTCCACTTTTCCACAATTATGATCTGTTGTAAACAGTATTTGAGACAATAGTTGACTGGGAATAGAGGAAGCGGTTTGCAGGATGTGATGTAATGGATCTGGATCTGAGGCGTTGTCAACATCCTTTACGTGTTTCCTTCATAACGCGTGTGTAATCTGAGCCTCGGGAGAAGGTTATTCCTGCAGTGAATCCTCACGCTACACACACACACACCAGAGGAAGAAATGAAGACGTGTATCTGGTGTTTCTTACGTGATCTGCAGTGTATCGATCCTGTGTCCGTCAGGGTTTAACTCTCACTGCGCCGCAATCGTTCATGCTCACGTCTGATTAATGAACAAACTGTGCAAGGGATTTTTTAATAGAATGACTAATCTCAATAAATCGCATTTAATAATATATGTGTGTGAACTGTGTACACATAAATACACACATATGCATGTATTTAAGAAATCACATTTATACAGTACATATCATATTGAAGAAGTATTTGCATGTGTTTATATATTTATTTAAATATTATATTTATATTTAAATAACATTTATTTCTTAAATATATGCATGCATGGGTGTGTATTTATATATACAAAAAATATATACACAGTACATAAACATATATTATGTAAACAAACTTTTATTTTGGATGTGATTAATCGTTGCTCAGCTCTATTTATTAATCTCAGAGGTTTCTCTTGTGGCTAAATGAAAGGTTAAATCAATAAAAACTTGGTAAATGAGTGCACTGTGATGTTTAACGTGTATTTGAAGCTGTAAGTGTGTGTTTCAGTGTCATCAGCTGTGAAGAAGGCAAAGCTTTGGCAGAATCGTGGAACGCAGCGTTCATGGAGTCCTCAGCCAAAGAGAATCAGGTAATGATGCGTTTCCTGAGGAAGTGCTGTATCTGCTGGAGACGGTCAATGATCTCCACTCTCTCTAATGGTCAATCAAGTTTTATCCTGCAGTCCGTCTGACTCTGCATCACTCAATCACTCTCGGATCCACTCTCCTCCTCTGCCGCATCATCAGTCTCTCTTATTAT